GCCAAGCTGCAAACTTTTCTTTCCAGTATGCTTCCACGTGCACGTGTGCAAACTTCAGTTGATTTTGTCTTTTTCATATTGAGTTTGATGAAGTTTTTTCTTTTTAGTTTTCGCGTCTGGTTAACTCGTCAATGGACGCTTCGTCGATTGCAGACTATCAACATTTGTTTTTTCTCTAGGCAAAAGAACTAACACCCATATAAGACTATCATGATATGAGTAATCACAATTGCCTAATGTCTCCTTTACGGATTGATGTTTTGCTTCTCAAAGTCGGTCCTTCCTCTGTGGGCTGTACTGCATATGACTTTTCCTGAGAATTAAGACATCCCTTCTCACAGTAGTATGGATTATAGTTTTTCTCAAATGATTTGAGGCAAAGTTGATATGAATCCGTCTAGTTTAGTAGTATTCACTATTCTTACACCGACCTGTTACGGATAAATTTTTGGGTTGAAGTGGAGACCAAAAAAGGTCATATCCACCCCCAGGGTTTACCTCCCGGCTGTCGGCCGTGCGGGGATTCCCTGGGTTACCAAAAAAAAAAAAAAAAAAGGTCCTATCCAAACTTTCTAGTGAACTAAAATCTATTGAATTTTCAGATGTGAATTTCAACAAACACCTGAAAATCAGGTGTTTGTTGATATTAACATGTAAACCAATGATTTCTAGTGTACTTAACCCAAAGAGCAACAGATTTGTTTAGCTTGAAACTTTTGCAGCTAAGACATCTTTACTTATAATCCCAGTTGAACTTTCTTTATCTCTCCTACAAGAATGGAATTTAATCAGAAACAGTGTTCATCTATTTTAACTGTCTTAAGATCTCTTTTTTTGTGTAACATTGGCAGAAGCCATAATTAGTGGAATTCTACTTTAATAGGGGTTAATCGACAATACGCAATATTTGCTAATTGTTTACTACACCATAGGTAGTCATATCTTTTGGAGTTCACCAATTAATGGTGAGACTTGAGGCTTGTGTAAAACTAAGATTTAGATATATTTTCGTGTCGGATCATTTCACTCAGATTACATCATTCTTCAATTTTTTTTTCCGATTATGCTTTATTTTCTTATTATATTTTAAATATTCATGCTCCTTTTTGGATGTGTTCTAGCTATTGTGAGAAAAAAGTTTTTCCTTAGTCTCCAGTAACATTCTTTTCTGTATAAGAGCCTTGCATATATCCCTCTGACTTCTTTTGAATTTTAGTTTTGGCAAGTTAATCCAAACCCAAAAGCCAAACTCTGGAAAGAGCCAACACCAGATAAATAGGAACAAAGTTGCTCCTCTTATTTGAGCCTCGTGCTTTGGCTTCTACATAGCACAAATTACTATACATGGTCAAACCTTTGTAAAACATTAGATTATCACGGACTTTATATATGATCTGCAGTTCTATATTATATAAAAAATAATTCATACAAAAAACATTTTCGGGAGTTAGAACATCTGGTCTGTCTAAATAGATCTCATACTATTTGGGTTATGATATATGTGGGTATAAGAGGAGACATATTGTTGTACATCATAAAAAAATACTTTATGCAGTACGATTATGTGAAATAAGAAAAAAATGGTGAATGAAAAAATATGTAATACTCATACTACCACCTGGCTAACTGTCATTCTTCCTTCTCGCCACTGGCACCTATGGTCTGCGCTAGTAACGCACCAAGATGCGTCCACTAGAATTGCCAAGTCCTCCATTATGTGGCTTTCCCTTTGTACCACTGCATCACCACTTCTACACACCGATATTCTCTAAAACAAAGATTTTTTACATGACAAACCCCTTCATGTTTAGTTTTGAGGTCATGGGGTTTTAAAGCTGTGACCTCGTGTGGCCATAGTAACTTCCCTGCAATAATTAGGCCAAAGTGCCTACGACATGGTTTTGGAACCACTATCTGTATTAGTAATTTGCTCCCAAGATGGCCCATTTTCAATACCAAGAAGACCCTTTTTTGGATTTCCAGATATATATATCTATATATATATCTCCATTTATGCATGTTGTACTTGGAGTATGGAATTTCAAGTTGGAAGATGCAGAATCGTAATTGAATTGAAGGCCCACATGAAAGGTCACAGGTTTTTGTGATGCGTTTGCATGGAGAGGTCATATTAGATATTTATATTATCATATGCATAAAATAGAGCATTTAATCTGACTGTGAAATGAGTAACATTGTTTTTGAGGCCAATGTGATATTTTATTTTATTTTTCAGGCCAATGTGATATGGATAAGTATAAAGTTGATCTTTTTCCAGTGGTAGATATTTAATGATAATTTCTCGATATGCTTATGTGGTTTTCTAAATTTTCTTTTAATAATAATGAGGTTTCATTTGGAAATGAGTTGTACATCCAAACAGGTATTTTCATATTATATACCATATCCTGCGAAAGGAAAGACATTCAGATCTCATACTAAAATGAGAAGGTATTTTTCCTTTTCACACCTACCAGATGGGGTAAGTTAGAAGTCAACCATTGATGAACGTTCCAAGTTTAGATGGTGGAAGATGTTTCTTTCATGAGGCTTACAGATTTGTTCATAAACGATAAGATATTATTTTTACTTGATAGTATATCCACGGTCATTTCCTCTTAATACCCTTCTTGCCAACAAAGGCCGGATTTTCAAAATCTTGCGCCCTTGTGAGACTTTGTTGCCTTTGAATACTTGCTGACATCCTTAACCAGTTATAAAGCTGTCATGAAAATGTTTTATACGAGATGTATAATAAAGAAGATAATCCCCTTCAATAATTTTAGGCTGTGAGGCAAGTCGAAAATTTTTCAGCATGTATACTAAGGCGAGTCATTCAAATTTCACTGAAATACAACATGTATTATTTGGCTTAAACAGTTTGGCCAAGGATCGTTGTAAAAAATTCATTGGAAATCATCTGAGGTTGTGAGGCAAGTTGAAAAGCTTTTTGATCCAATAAATGAAGAGGCTAATGCTGATCTTTCATAACATTAAAAAAATCATTATCAATGTTTGGAATAATATAGGAATAGAAAGACTAGTCTTCTTACTAAAATTTGCTGATGAAATCCTCTAAAAGGAGGAAGTCTCATTTTAACAGTTGGCTACATTTGGAATTCACAATAACTTGGATTATGATCTTCAGCGTTTCTCCAATCACTCCCTATACTGTGCTTTCTCCTCAACTTTCAAATCTATCCCCATTCCTGCTGTTCCTTTTTTTTTTATCCTTGATGCAACTGATATAAATGTATATACATATTTCTCGAAAAAAAAAAAAAAAGCAATAGCTAATGTGGGCTAGCATCACTTTGTATTAGTTGTTCAAATAATAGCTTTTCATGGTATTGCTAGTTGAACTTCAAAATAGCTAAACGAAATATGACTTTATAAACGAGTCACACGACATGCCACATTGCAGCAGTACTTATTGACATGAGCATGTCACATGCGGAGTTAACCAACGATAAACTTTAACCTAGATTTATCTTGAGAAATCACATTGGAGGTGGCGGCACACTATGGCATTTCATACCCTATAAATACCCGTATATCCTCACTGTATCACCTCACACAATCACCTTTGATAATCTGCTAGACTGATCTAGCTTTAATTCTTCATACTAGCTTTAGTATTCGTCTTGTTTGAATTGCATAATTTCGCTGAAGGACTCCGTCGATCGAAAACCCTTCAGATATAGGAGGAGTACTACAGTTTATCATTCAAAAGCAAGCAAGAAAGAGTTTGCAGATATTTGGTCAGACAAAAAATTGAAGGTAAATGTCCATGTTTTTAGACAAGATACATATCTCTCATTTCTTGTTCAGTAACTGGGCTGATCACACATTGATCTCTCTCTGTTTTAAAGGCCCGTGCAGCAATTCTACGGTGTTACAGAGATAAGAAGAAACTCTCTATTAACGGGTACTCACTATTTTTCGATTTTTCAATTTGGAAAAGGAAATAGCACAGAGAGCTTTTGTTTTTATTAACAATGTGCCATACATGTAACTTGCAATTGCTTCCAGTGTACATCGAGATCACTTTCCGATCTAATTGTTTTCAGAAACTCGATGTAAGCACCAAATCTCACAACTGAGACCAGAGTTATGATTTTCAGGATATGTAAATCATTTACACGTGTTCTAAGTTCTAATGGAAGTCGGGAACTTGAGGTCATGTGCATCTCTAAGCAAGAAAAGAATCTCATTGATCAAGACTATTACTGTCATAATTCAGCAGCTGAAGAAATTGAGGTGACATATAATATGCATCTAAGAATTTTCATAGCGCAGTTTAAAATCTAGAGATGAATCTGATGAAAGTACAAAACTGAAAATCATACAACTGAATAGTTCATTCATTTTCTGATATGCGACTGATTAAGGCAAAGGTCAATGTATTTATGTTTGGTTGCAGCAAGGCAATGACACTCTGCTTCTTAAGGGTGTAACCGAGTGGATGCAATGACCGCTTGAACTTAAAACCTGAACAAATAATGTTTGATCTCTCATTTATGAGCCCTACTCGATAATTTTACTTGACTTGAGATGGACTCGGCTATCCAACTTATCATTGATTTGGATGAAGTTTGAGTGAATTTTGAGATCGACTCCATTTGAATTCAAATTAGGTTGTTTTTGTCATAGAATGATAAATAAAGACAGGCTGGAAAAGTAGAAAAATAGCTCCACCCTAGAATGATAAAAAGCTTAACACCTCTCACTATTATTACTACTCTTTCATATATATTGAAAAAGAGTTGCGAAAAGTTCTTGATAGCATCCGAACCGAATTAATTGAAGGGAGGAATGAAACCGTATCAATTGTTTTATAGATCGTTTTTCATTATCATTATTATTACATTTCAAAAGAATTAGATTAATTTTCTAAAAAGAACGACCAGGCCGTGCGTGGTGTCCAGCCTGGTTAACATTCTCTCCCCACATGAATTGCTGTTTTTCAAGTCAGAAACAGAATCCATCAACAGAATCACTTGTCGAAACAAACCAAAACCATTCTCGATTTATCCTTGCAACACTCGGAGGCTCCACGTGACATCATGCATTGCTTCTTGCTTCCTAAGCCTCTCTCCCCTGGTTCCCCAACTAACTAGCATAGACAAACATACTGGGGAAGGAACTGAAAGTTGGCGACCATACAAATATAACGCCAGAAAATAGATCTGTCTAGACAAATCAGTCACTAATTAAATGTAAAATATCTAACGTGCTGGACTTCTTCCAACCATCAATATTGCATCAATATCTGCATCTTCAGGGCGTCAACCCTTCTTATATTATCCAGTGCTGCCTCAGCCAAGAGAGACATATGGTCTCAGCTACAGGACACCTAAGGAGGATATCTTGCCTTACGGGGTACTCCTCAGCAGTTCAACAACTCATCGAGACTCCCAGTCCTTCAATTTCTTGCTTCCTTTGGGTTTCGATATGGGAGCATTCATTCCAGCCATCTTCGCATTGTACTTTGCCCTGAGAGGGTCATTGTAGGTCCAACTGCATCACAAGCGAACTTCAAATTAAGTTCCTATTGGCATTATGAATCAGTAATAAATTCTTCTCTCCAAACATCCAGTCACAGGTAGTGCACTTGAAACTAGATGCAATGCCATATTCATAGAAAAATGACATGAATAGAACCAGAACAAACTTCCCTATGCAATTAATGATTATTTAAATGTCCAGAACAAATAAAGGCACTCTGTTTTTCCATGAAGAACTCAGGAACGATAAATGAGTTCCCGCATACAATTCCATTTGAACAACATTAGATCGTCGCATTTACTAAAACCTAAATATTTTGTAACAAAAATAAGCAGACCAATGAGTAAATTCACCATGCTCCATATCAACAGCTGCAAGTTTATTTCATAATACAATGACAATATAAATTAATTACGACAAGTATAATGCCCAGTTAACTTTGCTATAAACACCCTCCATAGCCATCAAATTACTATTAATGCACTTCAATCTCAATTATGCAAATAAGAGAGGCGTACACAAGGTCGGATGCGTAAGGAAGGGAAACAGGAGAGCTGTATCAGAGTGAAACAATCAATAGATAAGTAAGACTTACGGATTGTTCCAATCAGTTGTATCTTCATTAACAAGATGAGTCCACTTCGTCCTTCCACTCCGACCAAAGTGCTTGACTTGCATGACTTTCGGCAAAATAGTTTTGTCCATTTTATCCTCTCCGGTTGGAGCAGAGAAATCGCGGCCGTAAATGTAATCCGATCCAGCTGTTCCAGCACGGTCATCGGTTTCTGACTGGAAGAAGGCACCCTTGTGGTAATACTTCTGCATGAACCTCCACTTCTGCTTCGGCGCCGAAGCAGGTCTGGGATTCTTTCTTTCCCACTCCCTCCTTTCCTCCTCTGTCATGTTTCTCACCTTCTCAATCTCTTCCTTTGCCTTCAACATTGCTTCACGGTCCTCTCTATCCCTCTTGATCCTTGCAATCTCTCTTGCTTTCCAGGCTTCATACTCTTCAGCCTCGTTAAGCTCATCATCAGTCTCCACGTCACCAATGTTCGCCTCCATTTCCAGATTCTTTTGGATTTCTTCGTCTTTCCGGATCTCCTCAACCACAATCTGCTTCGTCTCCGCCTTTCTCTCCTCTTGCCTCCTCTTCATTAGCTCCTCGATGGCTCTTTCTTCCGCCTCAAGCCGCTGTCTTTCAGCTATAGTATCCCTCTCCGACTTGACGACAAAAACCGGCTTCACCATGGCAATACCTTTCGTCTCTTCTTCTGAGTCCGTCTCATACTCAGATTCCTCTTCTTCCTCCTCCTCTTCCTCCTCCTCCTCCTCTTCAGGAAGGAGCGCTGCGTCTTCTTGTTCCCTCAGAAGCAACTTCGCCCTTATCTTTTTTCTCCGTTCTTCTAAAGCCTCTGCATCCTCTTCTTCTGCTTCCAGACCCTCCTGTCTTCTGTTTTCCTCTTCAATGGTAGAAATGATCTCAGCTTGTCGAATGCGACGGTGATCAGCTCTGATTTCATCACGGTTATCTATCCTGCTCTCGGCCAAACGCCGCAACCTGGGATCATCTTTCTTGCTAATATCTGAATCTTCATGAGTAGGAAAAGCTTTCTCCAGGGCAACTGCCCTGGACATCCTGATATCCCCTTCTTCATCAGCTTCCTCTGCCCACTCAGGAACTTTACCAGGCCAATACCTTTTGACCTTAGTCTGTCCAATTTTACCCCTAAGTTTATCCCTAATGGCAATTACAGTGTCACTCACTCCCGCTGTCACCGACATTGTTGTGTATATTGTATGGCACAAAATGATTGAGAAAAAATATTTATGACCAGCAGACCACGTTGTACTATAACTCTTCCAGGACCAAGTTATGCCGCAATTAAAGCCGTTCTGTGCACAATGAAAGAAAAAAATCTGTAAATATTCAGCGGATAATATGGCATATAAACCTTATTTTCATCAAAACAGAAAGTGTTTTGGGATTTCCGGGGGGGGTGGGCGAGGGCATATATCAACAACATACAAATCCTATTGCAAATAGGAAAAACCAGAACATCCAAAGCTAAATCGAACGTCAATTGTGCAATTACAATTTAGAAGCCGTTAACACGCTGTTCAGCTATATTTAGATCCGATCGATGCACTGATCAGATCAGGTGCAGACTCATCAAGCTATCCACAAGTAGTTTGGACTCTGCTGGGGAAGCAAGAATGTGTTTATTTATATTTTTTGGGTGATTGTGCACCTAGTTCAACCTCACCCAGACACAGATTTGTCAAACTAGCTTTCCTTATTACGTATTTGAAGTCCAGAAAGAAGTCAGAATTTCCTGTGGCAACAGATGCAAGTGCCAACCGGTTGCCTGATGTGCTAGGACTGCTAGACCCATCGAGCTCCAGTTCAGGGGGGCTTCCACTCGCAGTATCATCACCAAGAATTCACCATTAAAATAACGTAAATCATCAGAATGTCAGTGATAACGACGGATGCAGCTCTGAAACAAACTGCAGTTTTCGAGAACAAATCTTCCCAGCAGAGAAGTATTCCTTCCCAGAATTACAGCAGCTCTACTGCGTACAACTATCGGAGAGGAGGCCCCTTCTCAAAAGGGCAAGTGCATAAAAGCATAACGAATCCTAAAGATGCAAAGTCCTCCTTTCAAATAAAAGGCTGCGGTAAAAATATGTCCCGAGTCGAAGTCGGAACAGGGTTACCCAAATCCCCCGTGAACCTGTGATTCGCAAGCGCCCTCCAGCGATCCGGTTATGGAAGGAAGGCATGGAAGAAAATGATGGAAACCCTAGCTCAGAGAAAGGGGAAAGGTAACTCAAAGTGCAGGGGGCTCTCCCTTCATTTTCAAGATTTTAGAGCATTGCGAGCTGTAATCTCTAAGGCAAATTGGATCCTTCTTAAGAAAATCGCAACTTGCGATCAGGGCTGCTAAAGCAACGATTGGCATTACCATTTAAAAAAAAAGGAAAAGGAAAAAGAAAGAAGTGATCGGCGATCAATGTCTCACAAAGCAATTCATGATGCACAAAGAATCGAAGAGCACCCTGAAACCCTAGCATCGGTGTCGCACTGGCAACAGTCGAACGCAAGTCGCCGAATTAAAACTTAAAGAAAGCATCACAGAATCGCCGCTTGAACGATCATCATCGGCAATCGTTGGTACGATTTTGCCTCCACAAAAGATTTCGAAAGCCCGAGCTTTTACCTGATAGAGGGATGCGGATGCTCCCTCTAATCGGCGGCAATGGATGGAGAGAGAGAGAGAACTGGGGCTCAGAAGAAGAGGGAGGAAACGACGGTACGGAGGATTCGGGTGGTATCAATTGCTCACGTCCTGAGTTGTGCTGTGGAAGAAGCCATGAACAGACCTCTCGACCTCCTCGCTGCTTGTATCGTCTTCTTCTTTACTATCCCACGCATGAACCGCTCGACCTCCGCTCCTCGTCTGATGGGGGTCTGTGTGTGTTTGGATTAGAAAGTGCGTCGTCTGCGTCAGGCCCAATTGTGTTTCGGCCCAACAGTTCATATTTTCTTTTTTGGAAAAGTATCAAAAAAAAGTCCTAGACATATTACATCGATACCATTCAGTCTATCTAACCAATTTAGGCCGGAAGCCGATGCATGGAGACCGGCGATCTTACGTGGCACAGCCGGAGCCGACACAAAACTTTTTAATAATTTTTTTTATAAAATTTCTTTTTTTTTCCTTTGCCCTTTATTTTTGGCAATGGCAGGTCGCCGGCCGCCGGCCTCAAGTCATGGCCGGCGAGGGTGACCCTCACCTAGGCCAAGGCGTCACTTGGGCAAGGGCCACCCTTGCAAATCTGGGTAAGGCTTGCCGGGTCTTGCATTTGCCCTCACCCAGGCGATGCTCGATAAAGCCGCCCTGGCCCGGGTGAGGGTCTGCCTCGTCGGCACTCACCCTCGCCAACCACTGCCAAAAAGAAAAGGAAAAAAAAAACTATTAAAAATATTCGCATCAGTAAGACCGTTAGTGCTCGCGTCATCGATTTGCAACCTAAATTGATCGGGTGAACTGAATTTGTATCAATATGAAAATTTTTAGGATTAAATCGGTCCAATTGAAAAGCTTAAAACTGAATTGGTACCGATGCGATGGATTTAGGACTTCTTTTTTTATACCTTTTCCTTTTCGCTTTTTTTGAAAATTCTCTGTTTCTTGGACTCGAATACCGTCCTCGACGAGCCTACCAACTCCATTAAGGGTCTCTTGGGTTCTTTAGGTGGAGACGCTGGCCTGTTTACAAGCTTTATGTTACACAAGCCCAACCTCCATGGTATCCCAAGGCCCTCCTCGTGATGGCCCGGTTCCTAAGATATTCGAGTAACCCGTCGCTCACGGGCTTCCAATCGAGTGGCGGACCGGATAGTCAAAGCCGGCAAACTGAAAGCTTTGAAATTGCAATTGGGTCAATAGAACTCAGCTAATTTCAATTACGCTTTCCATCCAATTTCTCGGTTGTCCCGAGAACTCGATCGAATGTGAACACCCGTCGGCCTTCGAACCGATCGCTCGCGTGCGTGGTGGTTGGGCATTGAAAGAATAGTGAAACATGACCAAATTCCCAAACCAGAACCATCAGAGATTGGAGGCCAAAAAAAAATTCATGAGATAGGGTTTGACCGGGCCTAGCTCTCCGGCGGTCAATCATTAGATGCCGTAACTTATTCGAAGAGTCATACTTCATATGACCACCCATTTTCAACCAACGCAATATCGCAAATAATTTTCATTGACCCGATGATGGGGGGTTGGTGATGTAAGACGTCGACTCTTTCCAATCTGCCAACCATCAACTTTCAAACCGGTCCAGGAACTTTCCCGGAAAAAGGAGGACAGGGAAGGAAAAGCAGCCGAGAAAATCGATGCCAAGGAACGTGGAGAAGAAGTGGCACGAGAAATGGAGATGGATGCGAAGACGAAGACCACGTCAAAGCGGGAGGCATGCACACAATTAGTATAATAATGGGTTGTTTCATTTGATAAAAGTACAATATAAGAGAGGTGGTTGTTGGCAAGTTTGGACAGTGATTGAGATTGATGAAGATAACAGCACGTCAAGCAGTGTTTGAATTAGACACTCTCTAACTCCGAATCCGATCCAACACAATCTTTTTATATCCCTTAAGACGTTGAACAAAATCCCTTGTGTATACGGGATCAAATCGAGGGGTCATTTCCATGAGAAAATCGCACCTGACTATATCACATTACGATTAGTGCCGTCCCAATCACGGCCTTCTTGCTCATCACTCGATTCAGTGAAGTGCAATCCCGCCCCTCCCCCCACCCACAAAATCTTGGAAAACTTCGCTCAGAAACCGAAATGGATCCGTGGATCGCCGCCACATCGGTGATTTCCAGCGAATATAGACGTGCATGACGTCGTACGGCAGTGCCCTCGCCCTCACGGCCTTCTCCCCCATCACTTGATTCGATGAAGTGCAATCTCTCCCTCACCACCAACAAGATCTTGCAAACTTTACTCACCAAATTAAAATGCCGATCTGATTCATAGAACCCACCACGACAATAACTTAATTGTCTTGGTTGTCCATCCATGTTAGCGCATACTAGTACACTCTCGCGGATCATTTTTTTTCGTGTCTCTCGGACTTGGAACAACGATAAAATTTGCTGGGTTTAGCTAATTTAGTACGAATTGAGCTCTTCCTCTTTGATCTGTCTTCGATGAACTGCGCGCCTTTTGAATAAATGAAAGGATGTCTTCTTTAGGAACATTCACTCACCCTCCCTTTCTTTCTTTCCTCCCTCACATGCAATTTTGAGAATTCAAGTGATTATATTAATTGGAGACACTTGCCATGTCGGTCGAATGGCATATGTATGCTTAATTGTTTGAGCACTAATGAAAACACGAGGTATTCTTGTTAGTCAAATATCGATGGCACTCCTAAAGTATTTTTTGCATTTTGATTGATCATTTAGCTTCACGCCATGAGCGCACTAAAAACCACGCTCCAAGTTTAGTTTTGTTTTTGTCCTAAAACCTTAGGTTATGCGATTGATTATTAAAAATGTGTAAGTTTCGTTCACTAATAAAAAACATTTATGAGCTTAGGACTTGCTTACACCATCTTAAAATTTTGGTTTTTTTTTTAATTACGTGTTATATACAAATTTTAGGATACTTGGGGCAGTTGTTCGTAGACCCATCGAAGGAATATTATATCGAGTAGGTTTCCCGTCCTTTGTTCTTTTCCGATTCTGAGTAGGTCTTATCCTGTTCGAACAGCATCGTGTAGTATCGGTCTGTTAATTAAGAATTGCTTTAGGTGTGGAGGATTTGTTGCCATTTTTGACTTGTAAGAATAAAAGGTCTTTCCCAAAGATTTGCTTGAATGTATGTTTTCGAAGCCGATGACAATACAAGCTCATCGGATCCGGGAACATAAAGGGAAAAAATTACTAAAAAAATCATAAATTTATTACACTTGTGCCAATTCAATCTTAAACCTTTCAATTTGTCCAATTGTGTCATAAACCTTTTGACAATTTGTCAATTTAGTTATTCCGGCTAATTTTGATCGGAAATCGCTGACATTGGATGCCGGACGTCATACGTGATATAATTGGTGCTGATGTGAATCATTTTTAAAGATTTTACTGAAATTTTTTGTTGTTTTTGATTTTTTTTCTTCTAAGCCCTGCTAGGATCGCTGGCCAACCCTCGCCGGCCACTGCGCAAGGCCCACGACTGGTGAGGGCTTTGCAGCCCTCGCC